GGCGCTCTCTCTGCAGCGTGGGGAGAGGGGGGCAGCGAGTCTGCCCGGTGCTGAGTCTCTCCCTGCTGCTTTGCTCTTGCAGTCAGTCGCGTCCGACATGCGCTTCACCGAGATCTTCACGGAGAAGGAGGTCCGGCAGGAGCGGAAGAGACAGCGAGTGATCAACTCGCGCTACCGGGAGGATTACATCGAGCCGGCGCTGTACCGGGCCATCATGGAGTAAGTGCTGCCTCTGGTGGGCAAGGAGCGATGCAGCCTCCCACGGATCCTCACACTCCAGCGCAAGGGAGGCCAACCTTGGACATTGCAAATCCGCGTGGGCTTAAGGGACGCTACCGCACTGCCCACCCTGCAGGCGCAGAGAGGGGCTGGGGCGGCGGCGCCATTCGCAGTGCAGCAGTGGACGCCTGCTTGCAGGCTCCTCGCCTGAGGCTGCCAGGACGGCACCAGGGAAGCAGTCAGACTCTCCCGTCGTCTCCGCGGCACCGAGACCAAGTGGAGGAACTCCAGCCGCGAATCTTGGCAGCTGCCGGAGGTTCGAGTGTGTCGTTTTTGTCAAATAATGTTCCCGATTCCGCTCTCCAGTGGCCACACCTGCCCGAGCAGGCAGTATTCCTGGTGCTTGACATTGAACCTTTTATATTTATGTCTGTGTTTTGTCTGGAGCGTCAGGTTCTTGGTTCTCAGCGTCTCTCCCCAAGGGCGGAGCCTCAGGCTGCAGCGCCCAGTGGATTGGGGGCGTCTGCGTGAAGACGAACTGTGAAAATCAAACCCTGTCGGACAAGCTAACTAACCTCCGTTTAGGGTTTGTTCTGATTTGACATTGAGACGTCTGTGCTAACTGCAATGGTCGGCTACGTATTCATAGGAATGTGCTTGGGTCTCTGGCAGTGCAGCCCTCCAACAAGAACATTCATCCAGCCCCCAAAGAGCACGCGTCACTAAGGCAATAAAGACCAAAGGGTCCTCGTGGCGAGCCAGGCACCGCAGGGAGGCTGTGCCTGCAGCAATCAGCGCCTCGCCTTGGCAGCGACCTCGGCGAATTAGATGGGAGTCAGGGTGCCAGTGGCAGATGCCCCGAGCTGTGCTTGTTGCTGAAAGGGGTGCGGTGCCACTCGGACGCAGGCGTGCTGTCGAATTCTGCCAGGCGCGTGTAAATCGTGTGCCGAGCGTTCCCTGCAACAGTGGGAAGTCGCTGTAGGAGCCAGGCATTGCGCGTACCCGGAGAGGTGCTGACAGGCTGCTAGCAAAGCATTAACAGGTGTGTAAGCGGGCACGGCTCTCCTGCCCTCTGGGAAAGGGCTTGGAGGCGGCGGCTGGCTGCCTTGCCCGTGCGACGTGGGTAGCTTCCCTTTGCGAGAGAACGGTTCAGATCTGCTCAGTTACTTTCTTTAACTCTCCCCGGCATAGGTCCGTCTCTACAGTAAAGGGACCTTGTGTGAACAAGACCCCGATTTACAGCAGTTTCCTCTTTGTTATATGAAAATACTCTAAACCAAAATGACTTTGAAATCTGGGGCATCAGCTTGTGATTAGCAATAAAACGTAGTGTTGTGCGGTGCCTCTGACTCTTGATCAGAACAGAGATAAAGGACGAGCTGTTCTGAAAACCAGCCCTCGGTTCACACCAGCACTCAGGGTGCAGATGTGACTAGGAACCACGCGCTGTCTAGTGCTCAGGGTTGCCCTTCCCGCGTGTGAGAGCAGCTCTTGGAAATCCGTGTGTGGGCAGGCGCCAGGCCTTCGCTTTGTGCATTTTCCCAATAACTTAACTCCTCACAGTCGGTTTCAGAGGTTACTGAATCATTCTGCTGAGCTCTGCCATGTAACCCTGAGCCGCTGTAAAACTCCTACTAGCTGCAGATGTGCAGGGCTATCAAATGAGACCGTTGGAGCGGGAAGTAGGCGGCTCCTTCCGATGCCGTGTCCGTGGCTGAGAGAAGCCAGGCCTGCCAGCTTCCTTCTCGATCTGCTGTCTAGTCGTTGAAGGTGCGTGAGACCCGCTCTTCGTTCTCTCAAGACGTCGGATGGGTGGTCTTGTCGGCTGGCTGCACTGTTCTGGGAACCGCCGTCCTCCTTGCTTCGTTGATTGGATAAGGGAAGCTTTTCCCATTTCTGTTGGCTGCACTGAGCCCTAGCGAGCTGTTACCCTCCTTTCCGGTTGGTTTATACCTGGCTTCCTTTGCAGTGGCGTGGGCTGGCACAGTCCGAATCCCTCACGTTTCACACGCCTGGGAGGCCGTGTAATTTTGTGACCCGAGTAAACCCGTACGTGTGTAGACTGGAAGTGAGTAGGCACGTCCTGGAATGTGCTTCAAGGGGGAAAAATGGCCTCTCCCGATAGCCGCCGTCCAATATTTAACTTGGGTCCTTACGCTGCCCTGCCATTGCGCTGACAGTCTGGGGGCAGGCACCATCCTCGCCCCTGGAATCCTTCCAGTCTCTGGGCAGGAGCCATTCACATGTGGGTTGGGCAGCCCCTCTTGGAACCTAGTTACAATAGGACGCTACTCCCAGGACCGTTCAAAACGCCCAGGCTGGCGCTGACCTGCCCCCTAAGGGAGCTCTGGCTGAGCACCATTCAAGCTGCCCCCCTCGTGCAGAGCCTGGCTTGAGCTCACTCTGGCAAGCTCTAGAACGGGGCTGGCGGGATGAAATCCAGCCGTGGCTGGCAGACCAGGTTTCCTTTTTCAGCCCTGGGAAGTAAGCGTCCTGTTTTGCTAAGTGTATTGTGGGTCCCTTCTTGCGTCCAGACGTCTTGAACGCCTGCCCCCAGCAGAGCCTTCACGCAGGCAAGGAAAGTAGTTTCAATGGCACCCGTCCCCATGTCCTTCCCAGCGTCTGACTGGGACCGGGCTGGGACCGGGGGTAGATGAGTTCTGTGCTGTGGGATGAGGTGGGCACCCTTCTCTGGCCCCCCAGCCTGAGGCTCGCATGGATGCGTTTCCATGGCTCACTCGGGCTCCTGCTGGCTGGCCTGTCCGCGGCGGTGCCTCTGCTTTGGTTTTTTAACGAAGAGCCTCTCCAGCAGCCTCTGTATTGTTTTTAATTTGATCTAGTAATAAACATAATTAACTTCCAAAGAGACCATCTGTGGATTGATTGAAACCTCGGATAACAGCTTAACCTGGGAACGCTCCGGCTGTCTCGTCTCTGCCTGCTGACCCCCGGGCCCTGCTCCGTGCCACTGCCTCTGTGCGTCGGTCCGTGATGGCATGGCGGCTCAGGCCCCTCGGGGTCAGGGTTCGTTCCGACTGTCCGCTGATGGAAGAGCGCAGGTGGGCGCGGAGGGTGTTCAGTGCTGGGCAGGTTTCTCTGGAACGATAATGTGACGAGCCGAGTCGTTCTGTCAGCTTCAGAACCCGGCATCCGCTAACCCGAGTGAGCTACTGTGGCCTCCAACGCTCCTTTCCTACCTGCCATCTCCACCCCTCAACGGAAGGGTGCCAGTCATGCAGCCCACACTGTTCGGTCTCCTGCCTCGGGAGCACCGGGCTGGGCACAGATCGGACACGCCCGTTCCCGTGGACAGGGCTGTGCCCCTCATGCGCCGGTGTCGGACGTGTGCTCTGCCGCTCCGCAGCAGCAGTGTGCTGGGGAGGGGTCCTTGTTCTCCAGCGCTTCCAGTCTCCTCGCCAGCTGCCGGCCCTTGCTCTCTGCCTACCTATTCGCCCCCATGCGACTCCAGGACTGGAGCCATGGGTTCAGCGCCCGCCTGCCGTGTGACCTACGCCCCGGTTCCCCGGAGTGTGTGTTTGGGGGAGCCCTGACGGGTTCCCCTCATCACATGAGCCTCTAGGAGCCTTAGTGCTGCCCACGAGCACACTGCGTCCCTCTGCTCGGCGCTGCGCCGGTGCCTGGGGGGCGGGAGTGTGTGGCGCTTGCTGAGACCCACGGGGGAAGGTCCAGGTGCCCACGTGGCAGCAATGGGCGGTGCCCTTCAGAACCGGAGAGCCACGAGGGGTGGAACCAGATGCCACTGGCCAGGAAGCAAGACAGACGGGGGGGCGGCGAGCTGGGTCGCTGGGAGCTGGGCAGTCAGTTATGGGGGGATAGTCCAGGGAGCCTGGCCGGGGGTACCCCAGGACGGATTTTGCTGAAGGGCCCATTCCTGCGCTCACGCTGTGTTCCTGTCGACAGCCCAGTTCTCTGACACTGGCTGCGTCCCGGCGGTGCAGGGCCTCTGGCTTCCTGGGGTCCCGTCCTGGCGGAGCGTCCCGGGGGCGTGCGCAGTGTAAGCAGGAAGGCTCCACGCTCAGGGCCAGCCCCAAGGAGGATCCTTGCCCCGAGGGCGGTCGCGCTCCCCCGAGTCCTGTCTGGCTTCACAGAGCCGTTCCAGAGCGCCGGGCCTGAGTCTGGGCCAGGCTCTCGTTCAGGGCAGGTTTGCAGAGAGCTGAAGCCAGGGGTGGGGGGGCAGAACCTCCGGCCCGCGTGCTGGAACTGCTCCCCCCCCAACAATCTGACCCGGGGGGGCCAAGCGGCATGCAATGCTGCAGGGGCCCAGAGCCCGTTTATAAAGACTTCTCCCTGCAGCGCCGGCCGGGCACTTCCGGCTCCTCATCCTGCAGTAGGAGGGGAGGCCGAGGGGGGAGCCACGTGTGCCTGGAGCCCCTGCTGGAAACAGCTGCTCCCCCAGCAGCCAGGCAGCAGCGAGGAAGCAGCTGGAGCCCCTTCCCAGCCTGGGGCAGCTGCAGCAGGGAGCTACGGCAGGCAGCCTGTCCCGCAGCGTCCAGACACTGCCAGCAAGTCCTCTCGCAGGTAAGGAGGCCTGCGGGAGCGGGAGGGGCCTGGGAGGAGGAGGTCCTTGCAGGAAGCAGGACGGAAGGGAAGCCCCGTCCCGGCAGGGGGTGCCCAGAAAAGGAGGACGGGGCAGCTCCAGCGGGGGCGTGTGCAGCGGGTTTTCCAGTGATTTGAAAGGCACCCTTGGCGCTCACCCCCCTGCCAGCAGGTGTGGCTGGTGCAGGTGGCGGCTTGGAGATGAAAACTGTAGGGGTTTTGTGGGATTCATGGGTGCACGTGCCACGCCTCAGCTCGGGCTGCTTTTCCCCTCACCTTTCCGTGGCCCCGAGCGTTCTCTGTGCGTTCGGGGCCTGGCCTCAGAAAAAACGGAGCAGCAAGCCCACGCCATCTCCTCAAGGCAGCAGCCCGTTGCAGTCCCTCGAGCGGTGGGGGTCAGCGCGGGCTCCAAGCAGGCCCCGTGGGTGCGGTGTGCAGCCGGGATGTCTCCGGCACCACGCTCGGGCTCCAGTGCCAAGGAGGAGGTGGTGCTGTGGGACACGGTACCTTGGTCAGCCAGGAGCGTGGCAGGGCTGCTGGGGGGGGTCCT